AGGGAAGAGAGCTGTTTTGTTTACTAACAGATCTTCTTCCTGTCAGATCGGGCACACTTCTTTGGATGGCTGTGCACAGCACAGCCATCCATAGCAGTGTGCTTACAGTGAAGCACACAGACACCGCCCCATAGTAAAATACACCCAGCACACAGTTAACCCTTTGATAGCCATCATGTTAACCCCTTCCTGCCCAGTGCTATTAGTACAGTGTCAGAATGTCCGCCGCAGTCCTGCAGTCCCGCAGTTCCACTGATCGCCACCAGTACTAGTAAAAATTTAATTCAATTAAAAAATCTCAGTATATATACCGCCATTTATAAACGCTATAACTTTCACGTAAACCAATTAATTTACTCGTATTGGGATTTTTTTTTTTTTTTAGCAAAGACATGTAGCAGAAAACATTTTGGCCTAAATTTATAACAAAATTTGATTGCACAGGCAATCAAATACCATCAAAAGAAAGCTCAATTCGTGGGAAAAAAAAGAACATAAATTTAATTTGGGTGCAGAGCTGCATGACCATGCAATTGTCAGTTAAAGTAACACAGCACTCTAACGTAAAAAATGGCCTGGTCAGGAATGGGAGTAAATCCTCAGGTGGGCAAGTGGTTAATTAGCACAGGTTTAGTTTGTTTTAGCTCTTGCACTATATTATGAGCAATAGTATAATCGCTAAAATGTAGATGTCCATCAGGATTTTTTTTGCAGCAAGAATCTACAGGACCATTTGAGTAATGCAATGAAGAAAATGTGGAGCAGAACAAATGCAGTCTACAAAAGCCTACCTACTAGAGGTTGTGATAATAATTTAAAGTATGTTTTCACTTTTAAAACACAACATAGTTTTCCTTTAAAGTAGATGTAAACCTGCAACATATCATTTCAGGAGAGTGAAGTAGTGAAGTGAGCAATTACAACATGACAGGCAACTGACAAAAAAGGTAAAGTAAAATGTTTCTGCATGGGGGAGGAGTGAAGCTACATTAGAATGTCCTTTCTGCTGATGTCAAGGGAAAGCCTTAATTGATGGAGCTGTAGACTAAGAGTGCTGTTAATCATACAGAGGATGTGCACTGGCTGGGCAGGATTACAGGGCATGGGATTACTATGAATTACTGTGCCAGTTTGTAATCCTCCAATGATGATAACACTGCCAACAACACCAACACGTCAGCTCTCGTGTCATGCAGAGAAGAAGACCTGGCTCAGTACAGCTGAGGGAGACTGGGAGGACCCGGGCATGTGAAAGTCGTGATACACACACAATGTAGTCCTCTGACACTGAATGTGAAGTGGAGGGTTTTAAATCAATCAATTTCTCTTTCTCCTAATGAGAAATAGAAGGCACTCTGAGGTGTTACTAATCCCTCCATGGAGAAGTTGGTGAAGAGTGATCTGGCTGGAAGGGGAAAGAGAAGCCTATACCGTGAAGCACATTTTGACCTTCTTAGTTGATTCATTTTGTAAAGGCATCAGTACTAAAGCACAAGCGCAGCATTTCTTGCACCAATTTTGCACCAATGTACACTTTTTTCAATTTTATTTATTTGGACATATACTTTATATGAATTTGGATTCATTATGCACATGATATCATGATATAATGCTGTAATTGGTTGCGAACAGTCAGTGAGGCACTTTATTGCACTATTTTGCACAGACGTGTAATAATACCATCTTTGTTTTCTAGTTTATGTATAGCACTTTGCATCTTTTTTCAGATTTGCCACTTATCCATTAGTAATGCTCTCTTTTGTCTCCTTATCATTCTATTGAAAGTTTAACTCAAATACACATTTTATGCTGCTGCCCTTTCTATGTCATTTCACTGCTATTAGCAGGCCAGCAGGCATACATACCATACAGTGCATACATACAATGACCAGTGGGAACAGTTTAGATGGATAAGGGCTTTCTTTGAGGCAAGGCCTATAAGGCTGGGGGTTCTGGTGGTTGCCAGCTCCCAGGTCTGGTGGTCAGGTTTTGTAATGGCAGTCATAGGGAGTGCAGTGCTCCACATGTAGGGCTAAAGATGGCACCAGCTTCCTGAATATCAGGGCAGTGCCTTGGTGGTCAGGAGGAAGTGGGGGATCCCTGGGAAGGGACTGTACAGGAAATGGGCAGTACTAAGCACCTGCTTAGTGACAATGTCAGCAGTGAGAGTGAAGGCAGGTCCCTGAGCTTAAAGGGCAGTAGGAGCTGGGGTCTATTCATTCAATTCATTCAATCACCAGTTTTTACATTGATTTTCCAAATTCCCACTCTGATATTTTGTTTGTTTCTTTACAGGGCTCTCTCATCTCAATATCAAGGCCTTTCAGTGATTCAGGGCACCTCGCAAGGCAGGTTTGGCACCCTTTCAAGGCTGAAAATAGGAACAAGCTCTGACCATGCGGGAGTTCTATTAAGTAGAAAATGAGGCAGGGAGGTGGAGACAGTGCAGGCACAGCACAGTGGGCATTACACTAAAATCATATTCTGAACCTACACAGGCAGCTGATTACAAGCATGGAATTAGTTGCAGGATGGAGCCTGTGCATTTTTTGGGGGGAATTGAGATGTTCACTTTCAGTTGAGATCCCATCAAAACATTTGTGCCACTGTTTCACACTTCAAAAAGTTTATCATTTCATAAATTAATTCTTTATATTTTTTGGCTTTTAATTGCTTATTCTTATAATTACTCTAATAAAATAAGAAAAAAATGTCTAGCCATATACTGTACATATAAAATTATCAAACTATGGATTCATACCTATCACTACGCTATACCTAACACTACACAAGAATTTAATAGCGCTTACTGTGGTGTACTAGTCTATGTTTATTGTGGCAAAATCAATTGCCTAACCACAGAGCTTATAAAAACCTTATGAAAAAGCATCCCCATCTAAAACCTGGCATCTGCAGCTCAAATTTCAGCTGATTCTTGCTGATTCATCAAAAAGTTAGGCTGTGTGTAGTCGTGTGGGCACTACCCTGCCCTTAAAACATTTCAGTCTACTTTTGTGGAAGTAACCAAGTGGAAAATTGTGGGCTGAACAATGACTGCATCCAATTAGATGAAGTTACTCTCTGGGTATTCTGACAGCTGTGTGTGTTGGCTGTCATAATACAATGGCCAGCAGAGGGTATTTCTACTGTATAATGTGGATGGTGGAATCTATTGGATCTTCCTCTTTTTGCCCTAAATTACAGAATTCTATTTGTGTATGGCTAGCTAAAGAAACAGTTTTTACAATATTTCTTTAGCTACTTTTCCAATCATTTGTTCATTTTCTGACTTACCCATTTACTAGCATGTTTATATATGAATCCCATCATGACCTATTATTGATAAAACTTAGACATGAGATCATCCTTGCTTTAACTGGCTGAGAGTGGTTGGGTCAGGGAGCAAATTCAACCTCCAGCTAGCTGAACTCAGGATCTTCTAAAATCGATTTAGCAGGGTGAATACTGTTATTTCCTTGAGATAAGCTCAGCACTAGGGATTTCTTCTTAAAGCATTACCAAGCATACTCAGCCAAAGTGATGGATTTAGCAATGCCTCTTTTAAAATGCCTCATGCATTGGTCATCAACTGATCAGCTCTATAGACCAGCCTAAACGATTGCTCTTGTATATAACATGATTGTTCTACAAAATGACCTGGTTGCAGCAGTTTAACTTTTGAACTTCTTGTATCTATTTCTCATTTATATCTATGATCACACAATTTTGCTAAATTGTTTTCTTAAGCTATATATTGTGCACATGCAGCTGTGTTTTTTTTTCCAGAAAAACAAGTATACCAATAACAAGAAACCATTTAGTCACTCTATTAATATGTTTAAAATGATTTGCTCACCATACAGTCGTATTCAGTATTGAGTCCATGTGGCCATACGTAGTAAAGCTCCAGGATCCATTTAGGTATGCTCCCGTACAATACTCTCTCTAAAAGGTAAGTGAATATTAAAAGGTAACAAACAACGTAATTCTGTTTTTTGATATTTTGCTATGAGTTCCTATTGAGGGGAAAAGCCATTTAATGGGAGAATAATCCCCAGTGCTGAACATTCCCATGACCTAAAGAGAAGGTTACTAAGCAGAGTAGCTCCCGTTTGTTGTTCATTACTTCCAGGTTCAACAGCTTTTTTTTTTTTTACCTTTGCTAGAAGTAGAAAAGCACTTAAATGTGTCAGTCCACCATGCACTGACAATACAGTTTTGAGTAGATAATGTAGTTGTATGACTCACTAAATCTGTATATCTTACCAGTACTCCATTGGCACACAGTGTTTAAATTCCTAGAGTTACTAAAAGTCATTAACATGACATGTTTGTTTTATTCTCCCAGGATAATTGGTAAATTTTATATGATTCATTCTTAACAATATTTTTGTATTAGGATGAATACTAACTATATGCAGTAGAAGATTTAGTCTACTTATGGTAACAGGAGCAGAGCTGGAATCCCAGGCTGTAAGATTTTGTTTTTGGTAGAGTGTCTGAGAAATTAAGAGTCATACAGTCTACCTATGCTCAACCTAATCTCAAATAGAAATGTAAAAGTTTGATCATTTAAACTTATAAAAACACTATAAAGGCACAGCTTTTGTGCTTAGAAGAAATTCTGCCAGGTGTTGCCTTTTAGTAGAATATTAAGCCATATCTGTGAACTTCATTCTGAATACCAGTGAGCATAGTCTTTTTAAATAATGAGCATTGTCTTTCAAAATATTTCTTTAATATCTATATTTTTGTTATTGGTATAGTTGCTTATTTTACCAATAAACATTCTGTTCTAGACCTAAAAACATTGTTTTTATAAATATCACATTTCCAAAAATCAAGTTTACAAAATGAACACTGATAAAGTCAGACTTACCAAACTGATTGCTATGACACTTCTGAAGAGAGGAGGGTTGAATCGGGGCTTTTTATTGCTTTAAAGTGCTCATTATCATTTTTTAAATAATTATTATAAAAATCTAAATATAAAAAAATAATCACACTGTTGTTGTGGTTGATTTTCTCAGTATAGTTTTTTGTGGTTTTGGTGCAGTTGGTGGTGGCTGACTTCCTGGTTTTGAAGGCAGATGGCAGACACCACTGGTAATGCCTAATCCACCATTTTCCATAGGATACGATGGTTTTGATGGTAAAGGGCAATGGTGAGGAAGTTTTGCTGCTAAGTGGATGGACTCCTCATGAAGATGTACTTCTTTGTTTTTCATTTCAGATCGAACATCACAGTCTGGACAGTAGCCATGGTATAAGACATTTTCACTAAAGCGTACTCGTTCTCTCGTTGTAGCCTGAGAACAACGGTCCTTTTCTGGTTTGTGCGTCAATGGCTGTCCTGTCATTTTATCCACTTTGATGTTATGAATTGCACATACATCACCATTAGGAAGTGTAGTAGGTCCCCCAGGAATTCCACCATTTCTAAGTAATCCTCCATTTTTCTTTAGAGTGTTGGTGGAGTTGATTAACTTTTGAGTTTCTTCATATTTCACTGGAGTTAACCGTGGAGGCGGTGGTGGTGGATTGGGCTTCCTAAGTACTGTCAGGACAGCTGACGGATGTGCAGGTGGATTTATTAAAGGTGCATTGGCTCGAACTTTAACTTTGTCTATGCTAGAAGCCGTTGTGCTACTTGAGCTGCTGTTCAGCGTGTCTGTTTTGGAGCTGTCTGTCATCTCATCTTCCAGCTGCAGATCTGAAGTTAAATTGTCAATCTGGTCAACCACCTGTAGAACAAGAAAAATAGATGCAATTAGCTTTTTAAAACATCAATGAAGCAGCTAAAATTGGTGTCAGGGTGAAAGATTTTGTAAAAACCATGAAATTCTCCTTATCCTATCAGCAGTGCTCAGATGATTGTGACAGTTTAATGAATGAAAAAAGTAGATCTGAGAGACATCTGTTTATAGATCTGTTATCACCACATCTGAATATTTTTTGCAATATGTATTTTAAACCATACAGGTCTCTGCTTTTTTCTGTTTCCCATCTATAAATGTATTTCCAAAATAAAATAATTTGAGTGGGGGGAAGTCATCCTGCTGTGCCTTTTCTCTACAAATTTGTAATTGTGACCATGTCTGTGTTTTTTTCAAGATCTCACCCTGAGTCCTTTTTGCTTCAGGACTCATTCAGGTCAAAGTAACAGTTTATACTAACATTCCTTTTACTTGCTTGTCCCTCCATTGACATGCTCAGTACTTTCAGGTATGAGAGATTATGTGACTGTCTGTTCTTTCTCTCACAACACAAGGCCCCAGCAATGTCACACACAAGGAGGGAAAGGAGTTGATCTACTAGAGCTAAATAAATTTTACTTTGGTAGGACTTTTTTCCTTAGTTTAGTGATTAGGTGAAGCTCTGTTGATATCCACCATCTAGTCATGTGCAAGTGAAAATACATTTTTTGTTTGTCTTGCACACAATTGGCTATTCTTTGCAAAGTGAAATTTCATCACATTCACTAAGCTAAAAGGAAAATTCCTTTCAAAATTGAACAACTTATTTGCCCCAATTAAATCAAACTCCAAAGAGTCCATAGCCTGCATACGTGTCAACCAAATTGCCTTGATTCTTCTTCTTGCTCTGGTTAGTGAATAGGGAGGCAGTGGGGCAAACAACAGTACATTTTTTCCAGCCTGAGTTGGCGGGTGACAATTAAAATTATTGTTTTGCCCTGCATTGGTATACATATTTATTTGTACGTGAAAATAATCTGAACAAACATTTGTAATTCCACTAACCCTTTGAACATTAGGATAATATCTAGTACAAATATGTAGGAAAATAGTGATTTTTTTTTTATATCAAATTATATGCAAACAATTGATAAAGCCACTGTACTACTACTGAAAGCACAAACCCAGGAGCATTTCTGAAACAGACACATGACCTGTAAATCTCTTCAAATTTTAATTTGCAGAGGTATGAGAAGCCAAAATTATTTTTTCTACAAAGCACTGAAAGATAGCCAAGGATTTATAACAAAACTCATTAATACTACCTGAAACTGTATCCACAAAACATCTGAGATAATCACTACTAAAAATAATGAATATTATTAAATAAATCTTTAGTAAAGCCTGACAAAGTAGGGCCATTCTTGGTTAAAATGTAATCTAATGGTGGAAAAGTCATCTAGAGATGCATCTGGAAAATATAATACTAGAATCTACATTTTTATTTCCTCATACCTAGTGGTGTTGAAGGTTGTCCAGCTTTTACATCAATTTTCTGCAAGTTTTTCCAAGTTGTTCTTGGGCCAATAAAGATATATACAGCCCGATGTACTAAAGGTAACCTTCAGGGAAGAGTAAGTAGTATTAATTCTTCTTCCCTTAAAAATCATGGTGGTTGCAAAAATGTTTATTAAAGTGTTTGTAAACCTCTGACATGAAAAATTAACAAAGCATATATTTATTTAGTGTGTACTTGCCCAATCCAAAACACTAAGTGTGATTTCTGTCTGTAGTTTGGTTCCTCTGATAGCTATATGAGTCATGTCTGACAGGCTGTGCTGACTCCAAAAGATGGAAGGGGACTTCTGAGGGGAGCTTCAACACACAGCCTGTGCTTTAAAGCCTCAGCTATGCATGTTTCCCTATAACATTGTGTAAAGGGGGTGTTTTCCTTCCCTCCATTTAGGTCTCAGATTACACTTCTATCTGAGCTGTTCAGTGTGTGACATCAAATATCCGCCTCCTGCCTCTGAAAGACTGGAAAAGATGTGTATATTCTGCACTTTAAATGGATGAAGAATGGGCTGCTGTTAAATAGGTACAATTTATACTGGAGGATTTGTTTCATCTCTGTGTATCACCCAAAGTTAGTAACATCATTGTGTAAATGTAAGGGTTTACAACCACTTTAATTAAGCCACTCCCCTACAACATCCAATGATTTAGGCACATGTTACTACATACCCTGTAATTTTGTAAATATTGTTAGTGAATTATTCACCGTTTGTATCATAGTGTTCTAAAAACCATTATTATTTGATTTTACTGAAAACATGTGCATTATTTTGTTAGTGAGGATTAGAGTTTACTATTATCTTTACTTTCATATTATAAAAATATATCAGAAATTATACAAGTATTAGTCTCAGAATCAAAAATGATACTCAATCAATCCCCCCCTCCCAAAAAAAAATAAATAAAGAAACCACAAAGACACCCCCTTCATTTGCTTCAGACAATGATATTTACCAGACTATATAATAATAAAGTGTTGTACTCATAAGGACTTAGTGCTTCTATATCAATAAGTGGGATAGTGTAGCTATAATGTAATAACAGCACAGGGCTAATCTAAATCATGGACTATACAGTATTAGGAAGAGTGACAGGTCCCCCAGGTACTGGACCATTTTGTGAGTAACCCAAATTTCACTGGAGTTAACCATGGAGGCAGAGGTGGAGGATTAGGCTTCTTAAGTACTGTCAAGACTGCTGACAGTTGTGATTTATTTAATGTGAATTGGCATGGATTTTAACCTTGTCTATAGTAGAAGCTGTTATGCTAAAAGCTGTAGAAAAATATATATACAATATGTATACACAGTATTATTGCTTGTTTAACCGAGAAGGGAACATTGCTTGAATAAGCCAATATTAGAGTTCCTATGATGTGTTATTCTCTAAATAATGCATTATTTAGGTAGAAGAATAAGCTATTATTTCAGCACTTTGCAAAATACCTTTGCAGTCTCAAAAGTTCTAGTTCTGGCAGTCTAGTAACATCTTCTAGGTGGTTTTTTTATTCTTTTTATTGACACAGGTATAAGTGCAATTTGTATCATAGATGTTCTGGCAGAAAGCCCTACACCTAATGCAATGATATCTTCCCAAATCCTTGTGCAAAGTTCTTCTATGTCCATCTCTTGTTTTTTTATTAAATTACCAAGGAAAATACACATTCCTTCATATCCCAGTACCTGACATTTCCTTACCATTTGCTCAATACTGTATCAGCCAAGCTTCTCATATTCCTGATAATTTGCATTCCAGAATGTTTAAATCACCTAGGCAAATCTACTGTATATCCATGCAGTTATAGTGATTTTTATTCTTTAGCAGTCATAAGTACCAATCATAGTGGTTTGCTTTTTATATTATTGCCCTACAGTCAATTCCTTATATATCAGGCAGTAAATCTCAAAAAGTTCCCATGGGCTGTTGAGTTGACACAACCATAAAATGGTGGTTACTCTGGAGCATTGGCTTAGGGTGTGCATTGTAGATGGAACCTTCCAGTGACATCAACACTTCTCCTTCCATTCATACAGGCTGATTGATAGTATAGAACCATCCTATGTGTTATGAAGAGCAAATTTTGGACCAAAAGATAAACAGAAGCAAACAGGACTTTTAAGGCACTATGCAAAAATAGAATTTAGATAAAACACTAGTTTTTATGTATACATTCCTCATAAAAAGAGCAATCACACCCAGAATTTAATTTAAATTTCCAATTTTAATTGTATTATAAAAGATCATCCCCTTTTCATTAACCATCACCCAATCATGCTATAACAACTGAGACAGGTATACAGTCCTCCCCTATTATAAAATATGAATGGATTATTTTATTTTAGATGCAATGGAGTGTAGAAAAAGCTCAACGCTCTTGGGAATATGTGACTTTACTTCATTAGGAGCAAACAAAAGTGGGGAATCAACAACTAGAAACATTAAAGCAAAAAATACATTAATGATATCACATATAATTGGACTGCAATAGGGAGCCAGGGACCTGGACAAGAAACCAGGCTGGGGTCACAAAAAAGGGTACCCAAAGCCCTCGCAGGCTTAGCACAACCATTATGGCACCACAAGCACAAACAATGATAATTTAATGGTCCCTTAAAACTACTGGGTTCTGAAAGGAATATTAATTTGTACATTTTAGATGGGTCTAAATATATCCATATATATATATATATATATATATATATATGTGTGTGTCTGTCTTGCATTTTTTTTATAGATTAAACATGTCCAATGTTGCCTTCATATTAATATCAAGCTCTCAATATGTTTTGGATTTAAACCTTGACGTTTCAAATAGAAATGGCTTCCTAAGGCTATGACAAAGGATATTGACTCCAAAATATACAAACAAAATTACCAAACGACACACTCTATTAAGGTACTAAGCCCATATGCATTCAGTTTAAAAATGCAGTTCAGTGTAATCACCCAGTATGTCTCCCGCCGTTACATTAAATTGTAGCTTTCACAACACATGGTAAAATGGTGGTACTCAAGGTGCCACAGGGGTTGTGCCTCACCTGAGGGATGGCAAACCCCCTACATTTATTGTGCTTAACCTCCCTAGTGGTCTGATTATGTCCATATTTCTGTGCTCAAAGTGGTACATTTTTTTGCAGGGAAATATGTATTTTTTTATTGTAGGCCTGTAATTTTTAAGAATAACTCACTGAAATCTGTCCGAACAAGAGTCTAGTAAACATCCCGGGTATGGTACAATTTGAAACACGAAATCATAAATTATAATTTAATAAATAATCATAAAAAATAATAATATAATAATAAATTTAATTCAATAATATAATCAAACCAAAAACACTGAAATTTGAAATATAGCGCCAAGTTCGCACATCACTGAGCAAAGTCGCAAAATCATTTTCAGTGTCTGATGACGAATTTCCCCACGAATCATTATCACTCAATTCTGCAAGTGGTTCTAATTTACTATCGCTGTTCT